ATATGGAGGTCAAAGTTGGTTATCTGGTGTGTTCATCAACCGATATCCACTTTTACTATGTTTTAGACAAGTTCTCTCACTGAATCTGGCCCTCACTGATTGGCTACACCATCTGGCCAGTGAGCAGCCACCCCCCTCCCCCAACATCATCTTCCTACTCCTCAGGGCTGGGATTACACACGTGCACTGGCCACACCCAGCTTTTTATGTGAGTGCTGGAGAACCGAACCTGTCCTCAAGGTTGCATGTAGCAAGCACCAACACTGAGCGCTTTCTCCAGCCCCTAATGAGCATTTTAAATCAAGTACCCTCACCAGTGTGAGACCGGAGGTTGGGGCTGGGAAGAATTCTCAACTGGTAACAGCTCCAGCTTTACCCATCAGAGGTTTCCCAGCCCCCAGAGACTGTCAGTAAAAATGGCCTTACCCCATACCCCTTTGGCTTTTTGAGACAGTGGTTCTCTGTGTAGCCCTGGCTGTCCTGGAATTCACTCTGCAGACCAGGCTGGCCTCAAACTCACAGAGTCTGCCTTTGCCTCCCGAGTGCTTGGATTAAAGATTTATGCCACCACCACCCTGCCTTTTTCTTTTCTTTCTTTCTTTCTTTCTTTCTTTCTTTCTTTCTTTCTTTCTTTCTTTCTTTCTTCCTTCCTTCCTTCCTCCCTTCCTTCCTTCCTTCCTTTCTTTCTTTCTTTCTTTTTTTCTTTTCTTATTGTTTTTGGCCTAACAGATCATTTCTTCCCCCAGTAATCATGGCAAACACTTGATCACCCTGACTGGAGCTCCAATCTGTAGAGCCGCCTCATTGGATGTAGACACTGGGAATTCAAAGTGCTTTAAATGAATCCCCGCCTCCAGTGGCCTGAGAACTTCAGATGGTTGTGTGTCTCGTATTATTTTCCTGTTAGTCAGCACTGAACTAATATTGACAAGCCCTTGGAGCAGAACCCGTGAACGGAGCTGGCTGACCCCAGGCTTTTCTTCACGGAGTCCTTGTTACTGTTGTTGCCGCTTTCCTTCCCTTGGGGATGGGAAGCTAAGCATGCTTTTCTCTGTGTACAACCCCTCTTCACTGAGTGGATGTGTCTCACCTCCCAGAATTGTGAGGCACACGCCATCTGGTCCCATCTTTTTCAAGCTGATTCATGGTTATTTTTTCCCATATATTATAAGTTCTTCACCAACTACATCAAAGACCATACTTTACTTAAATTTGTTTCAGACTCTTGTTAACAATGTATGAACATATGTAATACATATATTCTGGGTTTTGATTTTTCCCACGGTGTGTGTGTGTGTGTGTGTGTGTGTGTGTGTGTGTGTGTGTGTCCCACGATGTGAGTGTGGAGGTCAGAGAACTCTCTGGAGTTAACACTCTTCTTCTACTATGTGGGTCCCAAGGATGGAACTCAGTCATCTTTACCTGCTGAGCCATCTGGCCAGCACTATATACATTCAAAATAGCTGTAAGCCTGAACTATTTTCCATCAGGGTTATCACTGAGCAAAATGGAAAAATGTTTGGGTGTTGTCAAGTAGTTTCTAGACAAATAGCTGCTGCTCCTGCCAGTAATATATGAAAGTCTCAGGTCTGGAGAGATGGCTCAGTGGTTAAGAGCACTGGCTGCTCGTCCAGAGAAGCAGGGTTTGATTCTCAGCGTCCACATGGTGGCTCACAACTGTCTATAGCTCCATTTCCAGGGGATCTAATACCCTCTTCTAGGCACTGCATTCAGGGGTTGCAAAGACATATACTCAGGAAAAACATCTGTTATGCATAAAGTTAAAATTAAATTGCAGATATGTCGTGTGTCATATATGTATACATATGAAGGTCTCCACTTCCCCCACTCCTACCCAGCACTATCATCAGTTTTTATGCAGTGTGTGTTGCTTTCTTCGCTTTCTGATTTCTCAGGGGTGTAAGACAACTCATTGCTTGAACATCTGTGAATATCAAAAGCTGGGAGGAGGCAGGGAGCCACCTGACCAAAGTGTCTGCTCATTTGCTTCTCTGAGAATTGGTGCTTGGGATTCACTTTCCATTTGTGCCTAATTCTTATCATAAACTTGCATTTGTTCTTTATGAAGATACCAACCACCAGCAGATACCGACCGTATCTTAAATCACTTTCTTTTAAGCACAGTCTCATGTATCCCAGGCTGGCTTCCAATTGGCTGTGTAGCCAAGGATGACCTTGAATTCCTGTCCCCACCTCTCAGATTCTAGTATTACAGGTGTAAGCCTCTGTGCAGTGTTTTCTCTTTTTTAATATTTTATTTGTTTTTATTTAATGTGTCACACACACACACATTTGTCCTTGTGAGGGAGTTGGATACCCTGGAACTGAAGACAGCTGTGAGCTGCCATGTGGGTGCTGGAAATTGAACCCGGGACCTCTGGAAGAGCAGCCAGTGCTCTTAACTGCTGAGCCATCTCTCCAACCCTGTGCAATGTTTTCTTATGTAACAGATTCTTGGACTGAGGGTATAGCTCAGTGGCAAAGCCACTGCCTAGCATGCACAAGGCTTTGAGGTGTATTTATTTATTTGTGTGTGTGTGTGTGTAAGTATTTTCTCTGTGTGTATGTGCATCATATGTGTACCTGGTGCCTGCAGAAGACAGAAGATGGTATCAGATCCTGTGGGACTGGAGTTACAGGTGGTTGTGAATAACTAGGTGGTCACTGGGAATTGAACCCAGGCCCTCTACAAGAGCAACAGGTGCTCTTAACATTTCTCCAAGCCAGCTTGATGATCTTTTAAGGATCTTTCTTTCCATTTAAAATCCTCCTGGGGCAAATTCTGATCAAACAAAATATTATGCAAACCCAAAATGTGAGCCACAAATATAATTTACAGTTTTGATAGGTACAATTATTTATTTTGAAAAGGATACTTTTACTATGTAGCCCAGGAATTCTCAGTCCTCCTACTTAACCTCCCAATTATATTGAAATTACGGTGGTGTGCCACCACACACTGCTTAGTAGCTGCATCTTAGAAATACATATTTATTTTTTTACTGTATATGCGAGTGTGACTGAGTGCATGTATGTGCACCATGTGAATTCAGGTGCCCTAGAAGGGCAGAAGAGGGCATCAGCTTCCCTGGGATTGGAGTTACAGGCAGTTGTGAGCTGCCTGGTGTGGATGCTGGGAACCAAATCTGGGTTCTCTGTGAGACCAACAAGTGCTCTTAACCACCGAGCCATCTCTGGAGGCCCAAGTGCCTGCATTTCCAAAACCTACAAAGAATAGGCAGAGCATGGAGGGTGTGTAGGTTGTGAGAGGATCCCCCCTGAGAGCTCAGCTGGGGACATGTCATCACACAGTTCCTCATGGTCGGTGGCTGACTGCTCACCCCTGGAAGTCACAGACTGAGAAACAGCAGTGCTCCACCAGGGTCCCAGAAGCGGTGGCAATGGCTTTCTGATTTTCCAGAGGAAATCTTAATCTGTCCTAAAGAATAAAAATCTATGAGTTACAAATTCAAAACAGGTCAGCACTCATGAGGTAGAAGCAGGAGGATCTCTGTGAGCTTAAGGGAACCCTGGTCTACACAGTGAGTTCCAATGTAGTGACACTGTGTTTCGAAAATAAATAAACAAATAAAACTATGAAAAAAATGAAATCAATGCACTTTGTGCCATTAATGCCCAGCTTCAGCCTGCTTTCTTACAGAACCCAGACCACCAGCCCAGGGATGGTACCGCACACAATTGGCTGGCCCTTCCCCATTAATCACTAATTAAGAAACGCTCTACAGGCTTGCCTACAGCCCAATCTGATGGGGGCATTTTCTCAATTGATGCTCCCTCGTTTATGATGACTCTAGCATAGATCAAATCGATACAAAATTAGCCAGCACACCAGGAAGGATGGCACCTGCCCATCCTCCCTGCACTGGAGAGGTGAAAACAGGAAGACCAAGAATTCAAGATCCTCCTTGATTATATAGAACGTATGGGCAGCAGAAGAAACTGTCTTTTTTTTTTTTAATGTATTTTGTATTTTTCAGTGCATCTGAAGTTATCATATCAACACATAATCAGTAGCCAAAATAATAAAATATTAACTGTTTCTGGAACGAAGTCATTGAAGTCTAGTTTGCTGTTTCTACTTAGCACAGCCCACACTCGCTGGTGACCAATCACATCTTCAGTGGACAACCGTCTCACATGAGCTCATGCTTGGTCATCTTATGTCTGGGACTTGATTTGGCCGGTGAGAGGACAGAGGGGAAAGGTCCCGGTGGCCCTGTTTCACCGCCTTCTCCCTGCCCCCTTGCCACCTGCTGTCCAGAAAATGTATGCCAAGGCGGCCTGTGTGTTCTTGCTCTACTCAGAGAGATCAGCTGGCTCATTACACACCACCCCCACCCACTCCTTGGCTGTCTTATGTCTCTCTAGCTGTCCTACGTCCCAGGATTCACCACCTGGGCCATCCTGTAGCTCCTGGCTCTACTGAGAGCCTTCATAACAGTTTTGAAACTGTGTCCACACAGTGAGTGTGACATACCAGACATTCTGCTAACACGGGAGGCACACCTTACCTAACCCTTCTGAACGGCTAGAGGGCTGGAGCCATTTGGCACATAAGGGCTCTTCTAGCAAGCGAATGCTCGAGGAGCCCAGCCTGTGTTCAAGGTCAGGGAAAGGGGGCTGTGGTCTCCTTAGGCAAAAGGACTCAGGGGTAGTGACATCGTCAACTCTGAAGAGCCTGCCCCTATGCATGTGTCCTTAGGTGAACACACCCCTGACATCCGCCAACACCTATATCCCACCGCCACCCCAGCGTCAGAGCCTTGAGCCTGTGAAGGCATGGAGGTGGAGGCCACTTGATACCTCATACTCTCAAGACACTACCTCTTGAGGTCAAGCCACCCCTCTGCCCCGTAGGGTAGGCCTGATGACCTGGGCACACAAAACAAAACAAAAACAAAAGCCAGGGAGCACTGGCCAGGGCGGGGCAGAAACATCGACTCTCCCTTGGGGCGGGACCAGCATCAGACCTGCTAGGCATAACCGGGCCAGGGTGGTGGCAGCTGAGGCCAGGAGGAGAGCACCATGAGCGGACAAGTTGGAGACCTGAGCCCGCAGCATCAGGAGACACTGGCCAGGGTGAGGGGTGAGGCGGGCGGGTGGAAAGGTGTGGGAGCCAAACTCACAACAGGGCTGTGGGGACTGAACAGAACAGTGCCTTCAGAGCACTCTTCCAAGGTCCCTGCCGCTGCACCCCCTCTTCTCCCTCCCCGGGGGTTACTTCATGGTGTGTGTGTGTGTGTGTGTGTGTGTGTGTGTGTGTGTGTGTAAATTCAGCCTTCCAGCACAGCACAGTGCACCCCGCCACCCAGCCCTGGCCTCTGTTCCCAGCCTGTAGCTACTGCCAGGCAGATCAGAGAGTTCTTTCTACCCAGGTTGCGACAGTGTTTGGTTTGCTTTGGTTTCTGTTGCCTGGGTTCCCAGTCTTCTTATCAGACGTATTTGTTTGCTTTTAATTATCACAGAAAAATAGAAGGTTAGGGGCTCTTATTTTGAGAGCACCCTGCTGGCTGAGCCTGGAGAAGGGAGGGGCTACCGGGAAGGGAAGGCCTTAGGAGTCCAGCCCAGACTCACCCTCAGTCTAATTTGTGACAGGCATTGAGTCTGGAATCCCAGTCTTGAGAGGCAAAGGCTGGAAGATTGCCAAGTTCAAGGCCAGCGGAACCTAGTGACACTGGCTCAAAAAACAAGAGATGAATGGCTTGTTTTGACGTTTCTCCCATGGGGAAGGACCCTACAGGTCCTGGGTGAAGGAGGGGAGCGGGGACGTCAGCCAAGACCCTCCAGGTGAAAGAGGGTTCTTAGTGGAAGAGCGGGAGCCTCTCACCAGCCTCCCAGGACTGGTGGCCTCAGGAAGCGCCAGGCACAGGGTTCTTTTGGAAGTAGACGTCTGGCCTCTGGGAGTGGATTGTGACAGAGGGCCCTGTGGGCCATCCCTGTGTTCGCCATTATTTAAAAATAACAAACGCTTGCCATTTAAAAAATTATAAGGAAAGAAAGGAGGAAGAAGGGGAAAGCCTGTGGATGATCCAGAGCTCTGCAGGACTGTGTGCAGGATCATTTCCTTCTAGAGTCTTCCTGAGCTTAAGGCAGACCACTGTGGAAGTGGTCACACCTCCAGACACGCAGTCTTCATACAACACTGTGTCACACCTCCAGACACAGTCTTCATACGACACTACATGGTTTTTCTCTGGGCTGAATGAACAGTCACTTAGAGGGGATGAAGATTGTTTCTTAAGGGGCACGGTCCCCCTTCACACCCTCCAACCCCAACAAGACTTCCTCTGGTCCCTAAGCCTGCAGCTGTCTTCTGGCCTGAGTCATTCCATTGCCTGCTGGGATTCATGCTTTAGTCCTTGTTAGCACCAGACTGAATGACAGTGACAGGCGAGGTACACGAAGGCTGTGAATGTACCAAAAGGAAAAAGGCTGAAGGGGGAATCTGTTAAATGTGCCACGGTACAGTGACAGCAATGTACTCCCAGAGAAGGGGGTGTTGAGGAGATGCCGTGGGTTGACCTGTCACAGCAGCTGTCTGAAGTTTAGTTAATGATCAAATAAGACGTTTGTGCAGGGTTGGTAGCTGCCCCTGAGGCTGACTTAGGAAATTATAGAGCACCACTTATTTCCAGACTAGCCATTAGGAGTTAGGCTGTGAATGTTTGTACACAGCATTGTGGGTTATCAGCCCCAAGGCCTCATGGTCTGCTTGTTAAAGTGTGGGACTTTCTACCTTCATGTTTGGTCATTTGTCTTCACATATTCCTTTCTAATTATGTAAGCAGAGCTGCATGTATATATGTGCGTCACATGTATGCCTGACACCATGTGCCAGGAATCAAACCTGGACCCTCTGAAAGAACACCCAATCTTTAACTGCTGAGTCATCTCTTCAGCCCTGTAGGGTTCCTTTTTTTTTAAGATATGTGCTCCATATGTAGCCCAGGCTTGTCTCAAACTCCTGATCCTCCTGCCCCAGCTTCCTGCGTGCTGGGGTTACAGATACACACCCCCAAACCTGGTTTACACGTTTACTTTAAACACATTCAAGCCTTTGATTGGACAAATTTGACATTGCCTTCATTTCACAAATAGGAAAACTGAAGATAAGAAAGAGGAACTCTTTCCTATTCCAGACCATGGGGATGCAATTTCTGGGGTAACGTCTCTAGAACCGTCAGGCTAGCCTTTATCAGAGTCGCCCTGAATGTAGGGAGAAAGTGCCAGAGTTCTGGTGTTTATTAAGGGAAGGCTCTGGCATTAGCCAGAAGAGGAACTTGTCTGCCAAGAAGAGGTCTACACAGTTCTGACAGCTCCTCAGACAGACTGGAGTCCAAATGTGACAGGCCGGTGGTGGATATCACCACCCCTGCCTGGACTGCTTTGTTCTACAAGCTTCTTGTCCTTTGTTTAAACTTAAGCCTCATTCCAGAACCACCTGTATGTAGGGCACCTCTGGGCCTCTTTGTTTCTCTTTCCAGTGTGGCCACATTGAGTAACACTCTTTTCTCGGCTTTTTACTGTTACTTGTCTCGTGATTGGCCAACTGAGCACAAGTGGCCGTGCCTACCTGGTTTCAGCTGTCGGGGCCCAGAAACACTCTGACTACCATGTCCATCCTTTTCCTCCTAGTTCCGGGAGAACCTCCAGGACCTGCTGCCCACCCTGCCCAAAACTGATGACTACTTCCTTCTGCGCTGGCTCCGAGGTGAGGTCACAGGGATCAGGGAGGCAGGGAGCAGGGAAAGGGACAGAAAGGAATGAGATGGCAAGTTGAGGTGGGGCACTTCAGAGGACCACCTTCCGAGACACAGGCTTCCAATGGGCCTGCTCTAAGCTAGAATCTAAGCTTCAGTGCCATTAAATGCACAGCACGGACTCGTCAGAGCATTAGTATCTCTGCCTACAGAGGGGACACAAGTCACTTGAATGAAAAAAATGAGGAATGACTGTTCCTAGGTATGGGTTGAGGAGGAGGCTTGTTGTAGTTGTGAGGGAGAGCACAGGCAGAGAGCATCTAGAAGAGTCCAGACTGAATCAGGCCATGACCAGGAAAGGAGAGGGGTGAGGGTGGGGGGAGGCATGAGGAGGCCAGAGGCTGCTGCCTGGTGCCTCCCTTAATCACTCTCCACTGTATTTACTGAGCAGGGCCTCTTGCTGAGTCTAGAGCTTGCTGATTAGCTAGCTTAATTAGACAGCTTGCCCTAGGGGATCTTTTCTCTCTGTTCTATATCTGACCTAATTTAATACTTTTACCCCAGTGCCTTTGGCTTCAACAGAGTAAACACCTGGGAGGGCCTCGGGCCTTCCCAGCTTGGCCCAGGTAACCAGTGAACATTACCTTTAGGACACCGGGTCTGCCTTCAGTCCCCTGGGACACTGAGTAGTGAGTTAAAGTTATGGCGGGGAAGGAGCTTCTTCTAGAAGTCACAGCAGTCTGGAAAAGTAATGCCAGAAATGGCACCAAGTCTGAGTGTGGGGAGGAAGTTGCGGGGAGGCTGGAGTGAGAAACGCTTTTAACTCACTACTTTGCATGGGATAGAGTTTGCACTTGAGGTAGGAGAAAGTCAAGACTCATCCCAGAAAGTGAACACAGGTACATGGTTTACGCAGTTGTTGGCAAAGACAGACTTGTAACTGAGCCTCAGCTCCACACTGTGCTAGCCGAGAATCCGTGAGAAGACTGTCTCTCAGCCTTGCTTTCTTCCACGCTGTCATAGACATGGTACTGATCCCTGTCTTCAAGGTGCTGAGTCAAACATGACGTCACCAGGCCCGCATGGAGGAAGCCCCATCCCAAAGGTTCCTCTTCCCCTTTTCATTTTGTTCTTTCTGTGTTTTTTTTTTTTTTAATGATTTTTAGAAACCGTTTTAAAATTTTATCATTAAAACAGTTTTATGTTTTCAGGGGAAAAAAAGCTAACAGGGTCAACAAAAAGCTAATAGTATTCTTATCTGAAGCAATATCCAGTCGTAAAATATGGTGAAAACTCAGGTTCTATTCGAAACAGCACCTAAGCCTATAAGACTCTGAGAATTTAAACTTGGGACAGAAAAGATTCAGACATACCAAGTAGACAGACCTTTAAATGCTAATATTTGGAACTGCCATATTCAGTTTGGTAGTCTGTACACATATTTAACTATCCAAATTATATTAAGTCTGCAGGTTCTCATCTCATTAGCCATATTTCGGTTGCTCAGTAGCCACATACAGCTAGTGACACTGAACAGTTCAGAGATGGCTGGTCCATCACCACAGACCATTCAATGGGCCAACACGGATGCCGGTGACTCTAATGAACGCATAGGAGGACAGGGCAGATTGTAACTGCAGGGGTTTGTTCTCAGAGTGTGGTGCCCACACTGTTTGTCCTGTGACCATGGGACTGCAGTTTAGGAGACAGGTTTGGGCTCAGTCAAAGCTGCTGAGGAGTGGCGTGGGCTGCCCGTGTATGCCACGAACAACTTGTTACTGGACATGATGGAGGCTAAGCTAGTGGCCTTCATGGTCCTCTATTGAGGTGACTTCCCTGTCTGGCAGGAAGGAGGCCTTCTACTTGAACATCTGTGGTGTTGCATTTTACTTCAGCTCCAACAGTGGGAAATTTGATAGCAAGCTATTGAAGTAAAAAGAAGCTACCAAGGCATTTCTAAAATAGACTATGCCCGTGGCCTGGAGGCAAGCCTGTAGTTCCAGCTGAGTTTATTAAGGTACTTGCTGAGCAAATGTAAGGACCACATTCCTCCTCCCTGCACCCATACAAAGAGCAAGACCCAGCATGGTCTGTGTGTAACCTCAGAACTGGGGAGATGTGGCTTCCTGGTCAGCCATTATTCTAGCCAATTGATGAGCTCTAGGTTCAGTGAGAACGTGACAGAGGAAGACACCCAACATCAACCCCTGGCCTCCACACTCGTGAACACACACCTGCACGAATAGGCACACACATAGATCCCAACCCCGAGAGCATCTTGAGGGTATAAGGAAAAGTGGGGACACCCTAGTCTTGTCCTCATATGTCTCTAGGGACCAGCTCATCCTAACTTTAGAATTATTTTTGTATCTGTTTGCTCATTGGGAGATGAGAGGACTCAAACAATCAATGTATACGGAGGCCACAGAAGTTTGCTGGTTGATTTCTCTCTATTACGTGGGTTCCAGAGACCAAACTTAGGTCATCAGGCCTGGTGGCTGAATTTAAAAAAAGAGAAAAAGAAAAAGAAAGAAAGAAAGAAAGAAAGAAAGGGAGGAAGGAAGGAAGGAAGAAAAAAAGAAAAAGAAAGACATGGTTGCTCCTAGGTATGGTGGAGGAGAAAGTAGATAAAAGGGAGAGCACAGCCAGGGGTGGGCACATCTGGGAGAGTCCAGAGTGGACATGACCCTGAGCCACGTGAGGAGAGAGGGTGAGGAGAGGCAAGAGCCAGACCAAGAGGCCAGGAGGCCAGGGTAGCTGAAGAGGGTCAGGTAACCAAAATGTCTGGATTGTATAGGAACGTGAAGATGGGGGGGCACAGCCCCTGAGGTGGAGAAGTTTAGGGTAGGAGTGGGGTGTGCCAGCCATGCCCTGCAGTAGGTAGGGACTGAGGGATGCTGGGAGAACCTGGCAGCCGACTCCACTTTGATAAGTTAAACCTCAGTTAGTGTCTTAGTTAAGGCTTCTAGTGCTGTAAAGAGACACCATGACCACAGCAACTCTTAAAAGGGAAAACATTTAATTGGGTGGCTTACAGTTTCAGAGGTTCAGTCCATTATCATCATGGTGGGACATGGTGGTGTGCAGGCAGACGTGGCACTGGAGAAGTAACAGATTTCTACATCTTGCACAGGCAAGAGGAAGTGGTATGTCTCAGTGGACATGGCTTGAGTTATGTGAGACCTCAAAGCCAACCCTCACAGTCACACACTTCCTCTGACAAGGCCACACCCACTCCAACAAGGCCACACCCCCTAATAAGTGCCAATCCCTTTGGGGGCCATTTTCCTTCGAACCACCGCGGTTAGCCAGCCATTTGTTCCGGGTTTAGGACCTAACAGTGGCAAGTGCCTCACCTTTACCTGATGAGCCATCTTTCTGAACCCCCAAGACCAGCTCATTCTAGATCTGGCCTCTTCCCATGTTTTTGCAGCTCGGGACTTTGACCTTAAGAAGTCTGAGGACATGCTCCGGAAGGTAGGAACCTGCCTCCCTGTGTCCTGACTCGCCTCACGTTAACCCAGGTTTCTGGCCAGCAAAGAGTGTCTCCTCTCCTGTTTCTTTTTCCATCCTCCTGGATCCTTCCGTGAACAAGGCCCGAGTCCCTCCTCCTTGCACCCTCCTCCTACCTCCATCCCCAGTTCTGTGGAGCCCAAAGGGGCTCAGATAGTCTTGCAGCTGTGGGCAAGGAGACCTGGCTTCATGCCCCCAATATCTGCAGAGGCTGCTGCTGGAGACAGACAGCTTCTGCAGCTTGTGCATGTCTCTGTAGCATGTGGAGTTCCGGAACCAGCAGGACCTGGACCACATCCTCAATTGGCAGCCACCAGAGGTGAGCCCTTGCAGTGTCCCTTAGGTCTGCTGCCGATGCGCTCTCCACCATCTAGCCACTTGATGGCACAGTGTGGGCTGCTTTGAGCCAGGGCTTTGTCCATTTGTCCAGGTGATCCAACTCTATGACTCAGGTGGTCTGTGTGGCTATGACTATGAAGGCTGCCCTGTGTGGTTTGACATCATCGGGACAATGGACCCCAGGGGGCTCCTGATGTCTGCTTCCAAGCAGGACATGATCCGCAAGCGCATCAAAGTCTGCGAGCTGCTTCAGCGTGAGTGTGAGCTGCAGAGTCAGAAGGTGAGCGGTGGGGTTCAGGCAGTGTGCACGGAGACCTCGGTATGTCCAAGTGGGAGCACTAGGCCAGGGAAGGACAGCACTTTGTCTCTCTTACCTCTTGCCAGCTCTCAGTATGATTTTCTCCCACTTTGAGGCTGGCCTCAAACTCGTAGAGACCCATCTGTCTCCCACGTACTGGGATTAAAGGAATGCACTACCCGAATTGGCTTTCCATATATATTCATTATGTCTGTCTGTCTATCTATCTATCTATCTATCTATCTATCTATCTATCTATCTATCTATCATATGTGGCAGATGTGTGTGTGCAGGTGCATACCATGGTGCCTGTCTGTACATTAGAAAACAGCTCGGGGGAGTCAAGTCTCCTCCCACCATGTTAGCCTCGGAAAAGGACTCAGATTGTTAGGCCTTTACCCTCTGAGCCATCTCAGTGGCCCTAGGATTTCATACATGTATCACCTTGAGTCCCATGGGGGATGCACCGAGTCACGCTTGGCTATCTGTTTTCATAGCCAGAGAATCTACAGTAGTGACTGTCTTTTCTACAAGTAAAGCTAGCTGGCTTTTCCAAGAAACCCTAGGAACAGCGCTAAGGGTTCTCACTATGCTCATGGTCAACATCAGGGCTTGGCTTTTCCTGTGGTCTGCTGGGAATCTGAACGTGGTCTTTATGCTTACTCAGCAAGCACTTTATGAACTCAGCCAGAAGAGAAGGCAATAGTAACTTTCCCTCAGGCCAGCACACACACACACGCACACGCACACACGCGCACACACACATACACACACGCGCGCGCGCGCACACACACACACACACACACACACACACACACACATTGTTATATGGAACTCTTGAGAGTGAGGCTTCTGCTCCAAAAATGCCTTCATATTCACCTGGACAGGTCTCATCTCCTGCCCCTGAGCTGCCCTCTGACCTCTGCATCTTTCAGAGTGAACCCAATGTAGAAGGCAGCCTTGTCGGTTTTGTGAATCAGATATATGAGCCCAGCATGTGCCGTAGTGCACATGCAGAGATCAAGGACAGCATCTCTCTTCCCACCATGTGGGTCCTAGGAATTGAACTCAGGTCACAGGTCTTGGCAGCAAGTGCCTCTGCCTGTTGAGCCATCTTCCAGCCCCTGAGTCATGCTTTAATCTTGCCCTGGCAATAGTGTTGAGGAAACTATGATGATACCCAAGGAGTCTACAGCCCCTGCCAGGGATCAGACTCAACATCTCCTCACACCGTAGATGAATACCATCTGTTTAGGACATGCCATGAACTTGCCAGGCCTCCCTATCAGGCAGGGGTTGTAGGTAGCAAGAAGACAGAGAGAATTGGCCAGGAGCGCCTGTGTGGATCAGCGATCTAACCAGTGTGGCTGCTCTGTTCCTGCAGTTAGGCAGGAAGATCGAGAGGATGGTGATGGTGTTTGATGTGGAAGGGCTGAGCCTGAGGCACCTGTGGAAGCCAGCTGTGGAGGTCTACCAGCAGGTAAGGCAGGAGACAACAGCAATGACAGTTCCAGGCCAATGGGAACCCACAGCCCCCACCAGCCCCCCATCCAGGGCTGGAACACCAGCCCCCCATCCAGGGAACCTGTGAGCCAGCCTGGCCTTGAGACCACCCTAGAAGGAGGATGAGGAACAAGGGCATCCCAGAGGAGGGTGCACATGTTATGGGGAAGGATGGGTTGGGTCTCTTGCTTTAGCAGCACCAGGAGTCTGGGCATCCAGGGTGCTGGGTACAGCCATGACTGATGTCACTCGACTTTGCAGTTTTTTGCCATCTTGGAAGCAAATTATCCTGAGACAGTGAAACATTTAATTGTGATTCGAGGTGAGTCTGTGCCTGAGATGACCCCTACTGGGGATGGGAGTCTGGGTTGGAGATGACAGGAAATAAACCTTCGGGTTAGAACTTCTCAAAATCATCTTTTGTGAAGAATGATGTTCTTGTTTGTGTTTTTAACTCCATTCCTTCATAGACTGATATTTTTATAATATGCAAAATCCTGCCCTGCTTTGCTGCAGCCATATTAGGTGTCTAAATGTTTGCTGTTGTTTTCTTACTCACTTCAGTGTAGACTAGACCGTGAGCCACATTGTTAGCAAGAATGCTCCCACTCTTCGATGGCCATCCTATATTCCCTGGATTCAGATGACCTGGGCTCACATCTAGCTAGTCCTCTCATTTTGAGCAAGTCAGTTCATCTCACTGAGACTCAGATTTTCTGTATTGTGAAGTGGGGACACCATGACAACCCTGCTCCCAGAGAGTTAGGATGTTAAATGAGAAGATAGCACACAAAACCTGGCCTACAGGAAGCTCAGTGAGTAAGCAGGTATCCTTGGGGTGGGACAGGATGTTTAAAGCAGGTCCCCCACCCACCCTCACCTCAACGGACTCTGAGGTCACCTAGCAAAACCTTGAGTGGGAAAAGGAAGGAGTGTCCTCAAGCGATCACTATTGCTGGCCATGGGCCCAGCTTGTACCCAACACACTACAGTAGATTAAGGGACTCGGCTGACGGTTGAGACCCAGACACCATGCAGCCCCTTTACAGCTAACACCACTAAGCCTCAGAGGTGTAAGTCCTTAACTAGTGCTCACACTGCAGGGCATGGCAGAATCAGGAACCACACAACTCCTGCCCGGCATAGGACCTTGCCTGTGCCTGTATGTACTGCAGTTGTCTCTGGCCCAGCCTCCCAGTGGTGTTCTGTGTGTTCCAGCTCCCAAGCTTTTCCCAGTGGCCTTCAACCTGGTCAAGTCATTCATGGGGGAGGTGACACAAAAGAAGATAGTGATTCTGGGAGGTGAGTGGCTTGACCCTTGGCCTCCAGCTGGGGCCAGCTCTGGGCCTGTCTGGAAAGCTGAGGATGCTGCCAGAGCCCCCCCCCCCCCCAGATCCTCTCTCCACAGCCATTGGCTGTGATCTGCCTCATCAGCGTACAGAGCTGGACTTCCAGTTCTGGATCACGGTCTCAGAGCCTGAGTGCTCTGAGGAGTAGACTCGAAGGGGAGCAGGCGGTCCTCCCTGTGACCTCTCTGTTGGTCTCCTGTTCTTTACACAGATAACTGGAAACAGGAGCTACTCCGGTTCATGAGCCCTGACCAAGTGCCTGTGGAATTTGGGGGGACCATGACTGATCCTGATGGTAACCCTAAGTGCCTGACCAAGGTACAGAGTGCCCGGAGGATGGGGAGGGAGGAGCCCACTGTGGCTGACTGTCAGCTTACCCACCCCTGACTCATAGATCAACTATGGCGGCGATGTGCCCAAGCACTATTACCTGTGCAGGCAAGAGAGGCTACAATATGAGCACACTGTGGTTGTGGGCCGAGGCTCCTCCCACCAGGTGGAGCATGAGATCCTGTTCCCAGGCTGTGTGCTCAGGTAGGGACCATGGCTGGGCTTACCTGGAAGGACTTCCCAGACCACGCAGGAGGTCATCAGTGCGTTCTCCTCACTGCAGGTGGCAGTTTGCATCAGATGGTGGAGACATTGGCTTTGGAGTCTTCCTCAAGACCAGGATGGGGGAGCGTCAGAAGGCTGGGGAGATGGCAGAGGTGCTGGCCAGCCAGCGCTACAATGCCCACATGGTGCCTGAGGACGGGAGCCTCACCTGCCCCAAGGCCGGAGTCTGTAAGAGCTTCAGGTTTCCCTGCAATTGTCTTTGTGACAGAAAGACAGCCAGACACCTCAGGCCAGTCTGGCCTCTCTGGATTTCCTCTATGTCCAACTCTCAGGGAGGGTGCAAGGACTGTACCCTTAGCTAGCTTCTTACACTGTAACAAAATACCCAAGGCAATTAACTTAGAAAATAAAGGGGTGGGGTATTTACCATGCCACACAGTTCTAGAGATTCTAGCCCAAGATCCAGTGAGCTTATTGCTTTGAGGCTCTGGCAAGGGTGCACAACATGGCAAGAACACTCAGAGCAAACACACCTACATCACAATCCAGGAAACCAAAGGGAGGAAAGGAAGAGGCCAGGTGTGCTGGCTCACACCTGAAATCCCAGCGCTTGGGGAAGCTGAGCCAAAAGGGTTAGGAGCTCAAGGCTAGCAGGAAGACCATGTCCCTCCCCTTCCTAAGGTGCCCACCACCTTCTGACAATGCCACCTGGGAACAAAACCTTCAACACGCAGCTCTTCTAGGAACGCTTACCCAAACCACAGTGATGGGAATGGCATCCTTTCTTCTCGGGCTGCTCTGAGGAGGGTTTCAGGGAACTGTGGTGCTGATGTAATGCTGGGGTGGTAGGAGGAGCCGTACCCCCTACTGTGGTCACCACATTCCCAGGAAGGGGTCATGAGCAGTGGGCGTGGGTCAGGGCAGTGCCTGACATTCAGGTCTTACCCATGGGCCTAGTCAGCGCAATCCCCAACATCACCAGGAGTGCACACGAGCTGGGCTTATGCCGTCTGTCTCTTCTCTGTCCGTGCAGATGTCCTGCGTTTCGACAACACCTACAGCCTCCTGCATACCAAGAAAGTTGGCTACACTGCAGAGGTGCTGCTCCCAGACAAGGCCTGTGAGGAGAAGTTGCAGGGCCTCAGGGCAAAGAAACCCCCTCAGGACAGTGAAGACTCTGGCCGCCTCTGACCCTGCTCCATCCAACTCCTTTGCACACCCCTGCTCCTCCCACCTTAAGGCAGGGTGGTGCTGAAAGTCTTCGGAGCTCTCCAAGCCCCATTTCTATCTGAGCCTCCCACGGGACCACTTAGACACAGACCAGCACTTCCATTCCCTAGAGAGCAAGGCTGAGCGTGACACCACACATCCACTGGGAAAGGACCCTGCCCTTGTTCTTGTCCTCTTGACGACACATACCCAGGATTCAGCCATGCCTGGTATCCCAGCTGGGATCCAGTACACGAGACATATGCCCTGTCCCCCACAGAAAGCACAGCTGCAGGGCTGGTTTCTCTCCAACTGGAGGTCAGCAAGGACGGAAGGGCCAGCTGGAGGCAGCTGGGTAGCCTGTGAAGGAGGGGTGAGGCCCCAGCTCCAGCAAAGGCCTCTCTAGATTCTGCTGCCTTAGAAGGAATAGCAGAAGTGGAGAGACGGTATGAGGGGAACCATCAGAGGAAAAGCCACACTCAGCTTTACAGGGTTGAGCAGGGTGCTGAGTCCAGTGAAGAGATGCGTACATGCACGCATGTGCACATTCACATCCATGCCCCCTCTCCCCCATGCTCCCTCCCCTACGCCCCCTCCCACACCCTGCTAGGATCCTGCTGATACTCAACTTCAACTGTTTCTGATTTCTTAAAGCAGTTGCCCCTGCCAAGCCACCTTCAAATTCACCATGTAGGCTGGGCTGGCCGTGCATTAGTCTGCTTTCTTCAGTGTCCTGAATCCTGGGATTGCAGATGTGCAGAGTGCTGGGATGTGCATCACTATGCCCGGCTGCTTTTAGTTCTGGCCTGGGTGGAGTTGGAAACCAAAGCTAAGCTGCAGGGAGATTCTGGTAGTGGAGTGCAGGGTGAATGGTTCTGGGGGTTCATCCTGGCTTCCAACATGCTTCTTGGATAACCTTCCAGCCTTCCACACATCTGCATGTCCCTAAGGAGAGAGTTGAAAGACAGCTGCCAACATCCCTTTCCCATGTGACCCAGGAGCTGTCCAGTGACAGCTTCTGCATATAATATCTCAAAGGCTGGCCCTCCTGGCCTCCACAGGTAGTCAGCCAGCCCACCATTGCTCCATTGGGTGACTGAACCTAGGAGCAGATGCTGCCAAGCTTGACTCAGTGTGCCACTTTGCACAGGCTCGGAGGAGCCATTGCCCGGAGCCTAGGAGTCAGGGCTGTACAGAACTGCTTCCTCCTGGGCCTCTGGTTGGGACAGAAGACCTGTGTCCCATGCAGGGTGGCTCAGATACTGTTTCAAGATGACTGATGTGGCCTTGTTTGTCCTTCCGTGCTGCTGAGCCAAATGTCCCTAGAAGTGAATGATGAATAGTTCCTAGAAAGGGGGTCCTTGTTTCAAAGTGCAATCATCCTAGAAACCTTAGCAGATGCATCCATCTAGACACAGTCTAAACAAGAAGCCAGGCCCCACCATCTAGGCACCTTTCAAGCAAGAAGCCAGGCCCTGGCCCCTCTCCTGCTTTCAAATGCCATCGTTTGGTTTTCTCTGCTTGCTAGATATCTTCATTATCAAAGACATTTTAGTAGAGAAGAACAATAAGCCTTAAAGATGAGAGGACTCTTCAGGGTAGCCCCTAGCCACTGTACCTGTATCATTTACAGTCAAGGTTTAGAGTCTGCAGAGGGGGATAAATGCCAAGAGGCAGTGCCATAAGAAATTCCTGCTAAGATCAGTTGAACAGATTGACAAGAAGGGGGAAAAATTCTATGGTTTTCCTGGATCCAAAGAGAGCCTGGAACTCTCGGGCAAGAGTCACAAGGCTTTTCCAAGTCCAGGGCTGCTCCTGTCTCCCCGGGGCACTCCAGCTCTCTTGGGGTCATTTCCCCACATCGTTTGGCAGACTGAAGTGGTTGTCACTAACTGTGGTTAGGACTATCTTGAGTTCATTCATTTCACTTCATGTCATGGCGAGTACTCAGAGAGACTCAATGTGGCCTTAAAAAAAAAGGGATGCTGGACTTGAACCCTGACCCTTGCCCTTCTTACCACCCACGGTCAGTTTTCCCCTTCAGTACAGCCTCACTAGTGTTTCCTTGCTAGTAATGGAGATAGACCTGCCTCGATCACAAAGACAGCTGATGCTCCCATTGGAGGACAGGCGTCCACCATTGCTGGGAACAGGGGTGGGCAGCCGGCGCCAGTGGCTCTGGATCCCAGAGCTGGCACAACGGGCCTCATGGTTAAGCAATGACCACAGAGGTCACCTGAGGAAGTAATGTAGAACCTGCCTGGCAAGTGGACAGGACATTGAGAGCTCAGGAAGTCATGTGTCCCCAGCAAACCCTCACTCTTGCAGGCAGATCCAGCTCTCTGAAATTGCAACATGACCCTGTCATTTACAAAGTTCATAATTGAGAACCATGCCAATCGAGTTACAAAACAACCCAAAAAACCCCACAGAAAACACCCACATGTCATTTCATACAATTTTAGGGGTTCTGTTTTTGGCCAGGTTCATAGAGACCCTGGACTTTGTGTAGCCTATAGTGCCAGGTTGGATACCCCTTATAGAGTGTCAGTTTGGTGTGTGTGTGTGTGTGTGTTTCTGGAGCCAGAAGTCATGTCCTTGCACATGCTAGAGAAACACTCTGCTTGTGAGCTGCATCCCCAGCCCCCCCCCCAAAAAAAACCCTGATGATTTCTTTAAAAAAAGGGGGGGGAGGTGCCTTCATTTACTTATTTACCATCATTCTTTAACGTTTGTTGAGCGTCTGAGCGTCTGTCCAGTGCCAGGCCCTGGGGACAGTAAGGATGCTCAGCTGAGTGAACTCCACCAACTGGAAGTTTGTCCACACTGAGGGAGGCAGAAATGACCTTGATGAGCAGAAACCAAACCTGCATGCTGTCTTCGGGTGCCTTGTGGGAGCAGGAACCAAATTCGTGGGGGACACCCAGAAAAGAATGAGCTTTGATCATGAGCGACCGTGGAAGGACCTAGGGTGGGACAATTAGATGGCACCTGCCTCCAGGGTGAAGAATGGGATATGGGTGGCCATAAGGTGTTTGGGGCCAGAGGAGAGTCAGGAGAGTTTAACAGATGTCAATAAATCGTGCTTTGACGTAAGTTACAAAATGGATGTAAGTGTGCAGTTTGTCAGGGATGGGCAGTACATCCAAGCTCTTCAAATAAGGTGCTAGGAATCCTGAGGCCTCCTCTATCTAGGGGATGGAGGCAAGGCCTACTCTACCCCACCAGCTCCTAGAGAAAATCCTCACAACCTTTGGAAGAAGGCACGCGGGCACTTATTGGGGTGTTTTTATGGCAGTTAGAAAGACTCCCCTACCTACCCACTCCCAGATTCCCACCCAGCCAAGCTCACCAGGTTGAAAGGGTCACAACAGTCTAGTGTTCAGGGCAGGTTCCCAGCTGTGTCCTACGGCCCAGCCCCCCACAGTTCACACAGCTCCTTGTGTAGCATCCTGGAGCAGAGATGAAGTCCCATTTACGGGCCAGGACCCGAGGCTCTCAAAGACGGGGTACGCCTTGAACAAAGCCTGAATCTCATGGCAAACTGGGCAGATATCCAGGTCAGCCTTCCACCATGCCCTCATTACCTTCTGAGAGGAGAGGGTTGACGTGGGAATGTCCTCTATGAAGGAGGACTGTGTGGGGTGGGGCTTCAGTGTGGGCCAGAGGGAGGCATGGAGTTCCAGGGGCCAGAATAAGTCCAGCTCACTCCCAGCTTACTATGTGCCCAGGACAGTCTGTGGCAGGAAGTCTTATGGATGGTTATAAGAGAAGAGATCTGGCCTGGGGCAGAAAGGGACTTGTCCTGAGATAAAACATAAGAGAGAGAGGAGGAGAGGGAGAGAGAGAGGAGGAGAGGGAGAGAGAGAGAATAGCAGGGTGTGTGCCACACACCTGCAATCCCAGCACTTGGGAGGATCTCAGAGACAGATGGATCTCTGAGCTTGAGGCCAACATCGACTACAGAGTGAGTCCCAGGATTGTTACACAGACAAACCCTGTTGTGTGTGTGTGTGTGTGTGTGTGTGTGTGAGAGAGAGAGAGAGAGAGAGAGGATATGAACTGGGAAGGGATACAGTTTGATGGTAAAGCACATGCAAGGCCCTGGGTTCAATCCCCTGAACCACCCAAACAACAACAAAACCCCACAGGCTTCAGTCCATCTAGCCTGTGAAAGTGGAAGGCTTGGGGGCTTCACAGAAAGAAGCCAGGCCAACCAGGTACTGAGACCTGCTCCCTTGGCCTTGTGACCTCTATCTTCCTCCACCAGGGAGCAGTGTTGGGCCAGACACACCTTGGTTCACTGGGGATGCAAACAGTCCATTTGCCTCATGAAGGGTCATTTTACCTCACAGGTTCAGGAGGCCAAGCCCACCAGCCCCAACTGTTTGAGGTTGCTCAAGGTGGCAGAAAGAGGTGGTCTGATCCCACGTTTCACATCCTGCCTTGGTAACTTGTTCTAATTGGACCTTGTCTTCCTCCCATAGGCCCATCCCTGTCTTCTACACTTCCAGCTTACAGGACTTAAGATCATTGCTACCTTCCCACCCAGACTCCAAAAGCCATAAATGGCCCTGAATGACAGCTGGACCACATTTCTCTGTGTAAGTCCTTTCCTGGCTCCTCAAGTACCCCTGTGTGTGCACATGAGTCTTACAAGGCCCTCTGTGACCTGTTGTAACCCTCCTCCCTGCCCCAGCTTCACCCGACAACCTGAATCTACCAAGCCCTGATTATCCTGCTTGAGCTATGCCTTCACCCAGGATGCCCTCTCCCAGTCTGGTTCTGCGGAGCCCCCAGGCCTCAGGAACCACCTCCACCTTCACCCAGCAGAGTTCAGGTCTTTTCTTTCCATGCTGTAGAGCAGCAGGACCAGTCTTCAGCACAAGCCAGCATCACTGGCCTCAACTCTCCCCTATTCATCCCAGCAGCCAGCCCAGCTGCTGCCCTACATCTGGCCATAGGAATAGTCATCATTTACTGAGTCCTGCCCTGCCTAGTGACCATCTCCCACTAGGGCCTCTGAGACAGTGACTGGTTCAGTGGTAGTTCTCGGATTGCAAGTAGGGACGTCTGACTCCATATCCAAGCTTTCTGTTGCCATGACAAAATATCTGAAACAATTGACTTATAAAGAGAAAAGTTTTCCCTTGATCTACAGTTCTGAAGTTCCATTCTAAAATCAGGTGCCTCGTTGCCTCTTTTGGACTCCAGCAGAGGGAAATGCAAGTTAGTTCATTAGTGTATCAAGGCCTGTCTTGAGCTTAGCTCTATTTGAGGTGCCATGTGGCTGGTCCATTAACACACCGTTCACCTTGGAAGCATGAGGACCGTATTCAATCAATAGAACACATGTTCAAAAGCTGCACAGGTCTGTAATCCCAACACAGAGAAGACAAGCAGATCCTTGGGGCTGGCCCTCCAGCCACCCTAGCCTAATCGATGAGCTACAGGCTGGTGAGAGACTCTGCCTCTATAGAACAAGGTGGATAGCAACTGAAAACAACACACATGTGGTCCTGACACATATCAGTAATTGTTTAGTGGGCTTAGAGTTTCAGTTGGTGATAGTAGCCACACCACAATTGGAATGTAGGTAATTGAAAGGAGAGAGTCAGAACAGGACACAGGGCACACCAAGACCAGTTTTCAGCACAGAGGAGATTTGTTTGCCCTAGAGGGATGAAGATGGGGGATAGGAGACAAGGAAGAGGGGAGAAAGGGGACAAGAGAGGGGGAGGGAAGTTAGTATTTGCTCCAGAGGGACAAAAGCCTGCCTCTGGATAGAGACGAGACAGATGTGGCCCAAAGGCAGTTTATAAAGGGCAAGGGAGAAATGCCCTGTCAGCATGAGTTTGTTTTGATTGGGCACGTAGTTAGGGTAGCCAGAAGGGGGCTTTTGATTGCTGGACCTTAATACTTTGATACTGGACCTTGGTGGTCAGCCTTAGGAGGAGGAAGTATAATCTGTTTAGCAAGGAAAAGAGGCTGGAGGTGGGCAAGACCTCTCAGAGCCATGTTTGCCATTCTTGGCACTGAACTGTACACTAAAAATCACTGCATTGGAGCGGACATGGTGTCACATGTCTTTAAGCTCAGCACTCGGGAGGCAGAAGTGATGGGAAATGTCATTCTGTAAATATGTTTCTCTTATTGGTTAATGAATAAAGCACTGTTGACCAATAGGAAAGCTTTCGTTTTAGCAATGTCGTTGTTTACCAGATAAAAGACTCATGGCCAGAAAAAGATAAATATTTACAGTAAAGACATATTCACATTAAGAAAAACTGCTAAAGGTTTTTAAATATACATAGACTTGAGAGAGAAAAAGAATAAAATGTTTATAAAAAGACAGAGTAGCTGAGTGTGGTGGCACACGCCTTTAATTCCAGCACTCGGGAGACAGAGGCAAGCAGATCTCTGTGATTTCAAAGTAAACCTGGCATACAGAGTTAATTCCAGGACAGATAAAAGTTACACAGAGAAACCCTGTCCCAAAATATGAAAAAAAAAAAAAAAGTAGAAGAAAGAGAGTAATAAAAAAGCCATGTAAAGATGGAAAGCACAGAGAAACTTTGGATACTATATGGTGTTCTGTTATCTTTAAATTGTTTCTGCTGAGGAAATAACAACTGTTAAAAGAAATGCTGCTGGGATTAATTCAATTTATATATTTTAAAAATGCTTTGACTTAAAATTTTAAGTCTAAGGACAAGTTACTGGGAAAAAAGGTTACTATTTTTGTTTTCACAGAAAATAAAAAGCTGTGGATTCCTTCCAGACTAACATGGTTTGATCAAGCAAGACCACCTGAAACAGTGCCCCAGGTGATCCAACATTCAAAATAGCTGGGACAAGGCAGTCTGCAAGCCAGGATTTCTGTGTCTTCTTAGGATCTCCTTGACAGCGCCCCCTACCAGCAGGAAGCAGTTTGAAAAGATGCCCAAATTCCCAAATATTGTTTATAAATGTTCGTTTTCATTTAAGTGGGCTTGGTTATAAATGGTTAGTGACCACAACCAATCTTTTTAAAGGTAAAATGGGAATTATGGTATAGATATGAATACTTTGTTTTGGAATAAATTTTCATTTATTGATAAAAATTTAAGGTCAATTTTGTGATATATATATTTCTCCTCTTGTTTAGATATTGTGTTTATATAGCTCATTTAGAAATGTAATGTATAAATTAGTACAGATTATAGATAGCTACCTCTGGTAGTCAAAACTTAGAGTTAAATTAGTTAGGTTTTCAAGATGTATTTGAGATAGGCATTCTTCAAACCTTTCAAAGACCTACAGAATATGGCATTTAAAATGGTTTAAGGCTTTTCTTGACAGTGAGGCACAAATGCTCCTGGCAACATCACCTGCGTCAGAAAGGAAGATGGACATTGAAGAAACACGTTATGGAATTTCCTCCAAAATGGCAAGACTAGCCATTTGGGCAAGATACTGCTCTTGTCTGGACTGTTTGACTTTATGCTGTATAAACTGGACATGCAGGACCCCAGGAAAGTGACTGCTGATACATGATGGACATTGATACAGGGTTCCTGCTTCATGGAAGAGTCTGCCAGACAGTCTGCAGGACACAGAGAAAAGTGACTGACAAACTGCCAATACAAGAAGACAGTTTAAAGTT